ACAAAAACTCACATTTCTGCTTTGATATTGTCCTTCTTTAAATGAATCCAAATGTTATATATAACTAAAAGAACCAATAAAAAAAAATTTAAAGGTAAATGTTCCATTAACACAAGATACAGCGACGAACAAGAAAAACATGGCTCTTGCTCTCAGGGGTTTTACTAACAAGCTGTCAGACCCTGAGAATATTGTTGTGTTTGTTTGTTATGCCTCAATTACTTTAGAGCTTGCTATGATTTGAATAGGATCTCCCTGCCCCACAACTCATAATGAGTACGATCCCGAAAGTCATAAGAAAGTCATATGTTCATTGTAGCAAAAGGGGATAAACTTAATCAACTATGGTATTGGGGGGTATGTAGCATCTTTGGAAAGTGGCTAGGTTTAGATAAGATCATTAGGGTAGAGACGCTATGGTAAGAATAGAGACAGACCAGACACATCGACATAGGCGTATACACTCACCATCTCTTGCCAAGTGAAGCCCTGTACTACCTTGGAACTCTGCCAGCAAGAAGGCCATCACCTGAGGCCGAACCAATGCCCGCCCACCTCCTGCCCAATCTGCTACTTTGAACCTTGACAGTCATGTGTCAAAATAAACCTCTTTTTCAGAACCAGCCTCTGAAATTTCATTATAGTAATGCAAGCCTGACAAACACAGATCTCAGTTTTCTCATCTGTCAAGCAGGGACCTTTCTTATGGAGCTTCCCAAGGGTCCATCTAAATATAGTATTTATATATCTAAACTAGTATTTCACAAACTCTGACAATAACTCAAGCCTAAGTAATCCAAGGGTGTGCACTGTGAAGACAGAGGCACAGGTAACTCTATGATATGTTTTTATAATACTAATAAAAGTAGAGGTTGTTCTGACATCTCGCTACTGAGCAACTCATGAACATCTGCAGCAGCCCTGGAGTTGAGTAGTAAGCCTGTCTATGTCCCTGTGTAAGGGCCGTCCATAATGTCAGCTTTAAAAGTGACACATGAGTCAACTTACACAAGAAGTATTTAAAAGGCAATGCTCAGTCAGTGTAAATGTTTGGAAATTCCCATTGCCTGCTTACAAACTATGCAGGTTGGCACAGCTTCATTTAAAATCAATTTCACAATACCAATCAAGAAGCTTAAAACATTTGTATCTTCTCACTTAGTAATTATGCTCCTGTAAATCTAGCCTAAGGAAATAATCTAAAATATTGGTGTAAGGGTTGTGCAGAAAGATGATCATTGCTGTGCTATTTTCAATAATAGCAGCAAACAGTGGCAACAACATTAGAAATGTATACACTTTTAATAATATAGAAAGATGTTTCTATTATAGTAATAATGAAAATGGATGCCAAGGGTGCTACTCAGTGATAGAGCACTTGCCTAGCGTGTACAAGGCCCTGGGTTCTATCCCCAGTAGCAAAAAAAAAAAAAGAATACAAGAATGCAAAATGGTATGAATGGTCAGTGTAATCATAGTTAGAATTATAATGTGTAGATATAAGCATATTTCGTGTGTGTGTGTGTTTGTGTGTTATGTGTGTTTATGAGCAAGAAACTTGTTACCAGTGGTTACCTTTGCATATTGGGATTTTGAGTTCTTCTGAGTCATAGGTTCACCCCATGATCTGGGGAGCAGATTTGGTGAACAAGGTGTGCTTCACTAAAATTAAGAGGGGGAGTAGAGAGGCTGGGGTTGTGGCTCAGTGGTAGAGCGCTTGCCTAGCATGTGTGAGGCACTGGGTTTGATCCTCAGCACTATATAAAAATCAATAAATAAAATAAAAGTATTGTGTCCATCTATAACTAAAAATATTTTTTGAAAAGGAGGGGGAGGAGAGAAACAGGGAGACATGGGATTCAGAAAACAATGGATACAATACAGAAAAAATAAGGGATGCCCAGGATGAGAGTGAAGAGAAATTCTGGGATGACAGTTGGGCAGCAGGCCTGGGGAGCACTCAGAAAAGACTGGGGCAGGAGGACAGGGCTCCGGGAGAGACACCTTCAAGAAGCTGATACTAATGGGATACCATAAAGAAGAGACATACTTCCAGCCATGAGTTAGGGGACAAATGAATGATAGGTACATAGAAAACCTAAGCAAATTGAAAAATATGTATTTATTTCAAGGAAATTCAATATAGTAAAAAATATGATTTGACTATTGTTATTAGTTAAAGCTTCATCCCGGGGTTTCATAAACTGACTTCCAGACCACTCACGTATAATCGAATCAAGCCTTTAATGAAGCACACTGGTGGCGGCTGACCAGAACATAAAGCTGTTCCCCTGATCAGCCCCGAACAATTGCAAGGGCGCTCCTTATAAGCCTGAAAACCGCAAAAGGGATGTTCGGGGGTCTAGCCGATGCAAGCAAGCCAGGTTACAGAAGCAGGAGAGTGCAGTCAAGCGGTGGGAAGCCTAACCAATCACAGTTAGCCCAGTCACCCCAGTTACAGAAATAATGCCCCATTAGGTAGTTCCGTGTTCTAAAATGTTTCTATAGCAAAAGGAAAAGAACATCTTGCCTCAGTCATGACCCTTCTACTTGCCATGGTTGTTCTACAGGACGAAGTCACAAAACAAAATGGAGTCACATTTGCTTCTACTACCACACTATGAATAATATATAAGTAGTCATACCAATGTAAACATTAAACATTTAACTAATGAAAAATATTAATATACTAAGAGGTGGGAAGAAGAGAAGAAGAAGTAGGGGGGGGCGTTGGGGTTGTAGTTTAGTGGTAGAGTGCTTGTCCCCCACGCATGAGCCACTGGGTTGGATCCTCAGTACCACATAAAAACAAATGAATAAAAATAAAGATATTTTTAAAAACGAAGTGGGGGGAACAATGCAATATATGAGAACTGAGCCCTCATCTTTCATAGGAAACCAAGTGATTAAAAACTACATTTTAAAAATCAAGAAATGGTAGTATACTCCTATTACTTAGAAATAAGAGGTAAGGGGCCAGGGTTGTGGCTCAGTGGTAGAGTGATTGCCTAGCATGAGTGAGGCACTGGTTTCAATCCCCAGCGTCACATAAAAATAAAAACAAATAAAATAAAGGTATTGTGTCCATCAACAGAATAAATAAATAAGGAAGGAAGTAAATACCAAAATAAACAGCTTATGTTGAAAATGGAAAGTAGAAATTTAGGAATGAGGTCCACTTGGAAATGGCTCTTTTTCACACACACACACACAAAAGTATTAAGATGTTATACATATGTAGCTTTGTTTTTTTTATTTATTTAAAAATTATAAAGTTTGGGGCTGGGGCTGGGGCTCAGTGGTAGAGCACTTGCTTAGTATGCATGAGGCACTGGGTTCAATCCTCAGCACCACATAAAAATAAACAAATAAAATGAAAGTATTCTGTCCATCTACAACTACAAAAAAAAAATTTAAAGGCTTGGGGTGTTGCTCAGTGGTTAAGCACCCCTGGGTTCAATCCCCAAAACCACCCCCCAAAAAACCCACTTAAAATTTATAAACTATGGAAGCATCAGGAAGAAGGAACAGTGACTGAGAGGTGTGGGCCATGCAATTAGTCAGGAAGGGGTGGGTGACTCATGGGCACGGGGCAGGGAGAGGCAGCAGGACAGACTCAAGAGCGGAGCAGTAAAGGAAAGGGGAACCATCAGGGATTATTAAGGTGGGGAGTCCTGATGACATCCTTGATCCGGAGCTTGACCACTTCTTGTGAGAAAGGTCTTTGAGTAGAAATCAGGAATGGGAGAGATGGACAGCAAGAGGCCCCAGATAGTAGCCTGTGCCCAGTTCCAGGGAGAGAGGGAGAAGCTGTGAATGTGGTGGTAGCCATAGGGAAGAGGAAGACATGGGTGGCAAATATTGCCTAGGGGACTCGTCAGCATTCAGTTGACAGCTAAGGACAATCAGGAAGAGGAGGGCCTTGATGGAGTGGGGAAGACAATCCTCCATCAGAAGGTTCTCCCTTCCACCCTCCAACACCAGAGAGACAAAGGGTGGAGCTAAGAGCTCATGCTTTGGAGTCTTTGAGGTTAAATACCTAAAAAGGTAAAGTGATGGTCAGAGAAAGATATGGACTTTGTAGCCAAGTACACTTGAGTTTGAACTCCAAATGCCACTTCCTATCTGAACGGTTTTACCCAAGATTACTTAACCTCCCTGAATCCCAGGGGTGGTCAAGCCCAAAAGGAGCCCTGATCACAACAGCCCTCACAGGGTCGTTAGGGAGAATAATGAAGGAACTTCTGTGGAAGGCTTCAAAGGAGACCATCCACTCACATCCAAAGCCTCCCCGCTTCCTGTGTCTCCCGCCCACCCCACCCCGCCATGGCATGGCGCTCTTCTAGGAAGACCCTTCCAGCTCCTCTGAGACACGTTGTTTCCTGCACCCCTCAGGGTATGGGGCCCCAGGAGGGTTCCTGGGAGAAACCTTCAACGTCCCTCCCATCAGCTCAAGCACAGAGATCACACAGGTTTGCATCAACCAGAAAGTCAGCTTTATTAGCCCACCACCAGCACAGGGAAAGGGAGACAGCTGGGGCCGCGCTGGGAGAAAGGGTCCTGGCCCAGGCCTCCCTCCAGGAGGCGAGGCCTGCAGGTGGCAGGAGGTTCTGGGAGAGGCAGATCAGTTCCTGGAGCTCTGGATCTGGCTCTGGCTCTGGCTCTGGCTCTGGCTCTGGCTGAAGCTGGAGGAGCTCTGTTCCTTGAGGATGGGCCGGGTCTGGCGAGAGGATGAGGAGAAGACTGCAGGAGAGAGAGAGGAACGGAGGTGAGAAGGGCTCTGGGAGCTGAGCAGACTCCTGGGCAGACCCAGGGGCTCTGCAGAGAGGGGCTCGGCCACAGTGCCCAGGATCCCCAGGAACCTTACCTTCCCGGGAAGAATAGGATTGGCCGGATGAGTGCTGGGAGGATGAGAGGCTGTGGGGGAAAGAACGGGAGCATTAGATGAGCTGGACACTGCAGGGGGCTGAGAGGCTGAGAGGCGACACTGGGGGTCCCACTCACTGAGAGTCCTCGCCCTCCAGCAGGCGGCGGTAGGTGGCGATCTCCTGCTCCAGCCGCGTCTTCACGTCCAGCAGGATCTTGTACTCCTGGCTCTGCTGCTCCATCTCGCAGCGCAGCTGTGCCAGCTGCTCCTCCACGCTGCCAATCAGCCCCTGGATCTGGGCCAGCTGCATGCAGTAGCGGCCTTTGGTCTCCTCCAGGCTGTTCTCCAGGGATGCTTTCTGAAAATGGAGAAGGGAGAGGAAAGTCAACAGAGGTGTTCACACCTGTCCCTCCAGGTCTCTGGGCCATGCTTCCTGAGAGATGCAAGGATTTTTGACTCCAGCTGGGTCAGATAACATGGAGGAAAATATTTCACCATTCTAGGCCTTAATTTCTCCATTTCTACAATGGATACTATGGTGGCTCCACCGGTGGGGGAAAAAATATATAGGACTGGATTGTGACAGTGTTGCGGGGGGTGGCCACTGCTGGTGACTTGGGGGCTGCAGTGGGGCTTCATCCTTCATACCATGCTAAGCTGGGACTGCAGCTCGATCTCCAGGCCCTGGAACACTCTGCGGAGCTCAGTCACCTCACTGCGGCCGCTCTGTATCAGTTCGCTGTTAGAGGCCACTTCTTTGTTCAGCTCCTCAGTCTGAGATAGGAGACAGGAGCAAAAGGTGTGAGGCTCTCCTAAGCCTCCCCAGCTAGGAAGTCCTCCTGTAGGAGTGCAGAGGACCCAAGCCTTACCTTGCTTATGAACCAGGCCTCAGCATCTCTGCGGTTCTTCTCGGCCATCTGCTCATACTGGTCGCGCATCTCATTCAGGATGCGGCTCAGGTCCACACCAGGGGCCGCGTCCATCTCCACATTGACATCCCCACCAGTCTGACCTCTTAGGGCAAGCATCTCCTAGGAAGGGATAGAAGGGGATGTCAGATCAGCTGACCCCTCTCCTGAGCCTAGGCAGATCCGGCAACTCAACCAACCAGCCTCCTAACCCCAAAGCCCGCTATGACCTCACCTCCTCGTGGTTCTTCTTCAGGTAGGCTAACTCCTCCTTGAGGCTTTCAATCTGCATCTCCAGATCGGCTCTGGCCAGGGTCAGCTCATCCAGCACCCTGCGCAGGCCGTTGACATCGGCCTCCACGGTCTGGCGCAGGGCCAGCTCATGCTCATACCTGGCAAGATAGAGTTCAGAGTCTCAGGTCCCCTCCTTAAGGTTCCCAAGGATTGATGTCTGGATGGATAGCCCTACTCCTTTGTCCCCTGTCCTCTGCCCTCAGCCCATCATGTTGGATGCTCACTTGGTTCTGAAGTCGTCAGCTGCCAGCCTGGCATTGTCGATCTGCAGAATGGGCTGTGCGTTCTCCATGGTGGCAGTAATGATCTGGAATGGGGATGACAGGACAGGAGGTCAGTCAAGGACCCTGCTGCTCAAGGGTGAAGAGCAGAGAGGGACAAAAGGAGTCTTCCCAAACTTGAGGATCAGCTGTCTGGCAGGGCAAGCCCTATATTCCCCCAACCAGGCTAAGACACCTCTCCACTTGGCTCAGGGTATACAAGGATGTACCCACATCTCCCGCCGCCCCTATCCTGGACCCAAAGCTGAGAAATTGAGCATGCAGTATAATGAACTCTTGCATGGAGATGCAGAGTTCCAGACCCAGCTGAGACACAGAAATGCTGAAAATGGACCCTCTGACACCAGTTATCTGTCCACTCTCCAAAGGCACCTCTGTCTCCCTGTTTGTAAATGGAATTGCCAACAAGAGATTTACTCAAGGCCACTGCAGCCCTTGTCTCTCTCAAAACCCCAACCATCAGTCACCCACCTTGTTCCTCAGGTCCTCGATGGTCCTAAAGTAGGGGCTGTAGTCTTTGGTCTCGGAGGGCCGCTGCCTCTGGTACCAGTCTCGGATCTTCACCTCCAGGTCGGTGTTGGCCTCCTCCAGGGCGCGCACCTTGTCCAGGTAGGAGGCCAGGCGGTCGTTGAGGTTCTGCATGGTGATCTTCTCATTGCCAGAGAGGAGGCCGCCATCGCCAACACCAAAACCAGCACCAAAGCCACCACCGAAGCCACCACCAAAGCCGCTACCTAGGGCCCCACCAAAGCTGCTGCTGCTGCTGAAGCCACCGCCATAGCCGCCCCCCATCCCGCAGGCTCCCCCAGAGGAGAAGCGGGAGGAGGTGACCTGCAGGCCCCCATAGGTGCTGGGAGCCCGGCAGGATCCTCCGGCCAGGACAGAGGAGATGCGGCTGGAGCCACCACCAATGCCGCAGGAGCCATTCATGGAGCTGGAGGAGGTGAACTGGCGGCTGCAGGTGGTCATGGTGCCAAGGAGGAGGTGAGTGAGCGAGCGAGCGAGCGAGTCAGCAGAGGGAAGAGAAAGGTGCTCAGGGCGGCTGAGAGGATGCTGTGGCGTCTCAATCCCCGGGATCCTTTATATGCACCCGGGGAAGGCGTGGCCCTCCAACTGCTGACTCCGGGTTCCCCTCTGATTTCATCACTCCGGTCCCATCTGACTTCCTACTCTGGATTATTCAGCCCAGGGTGGACTCACTTCTCTGTGTGCGGTGCCGTCTCAGAGTTCCCACCCAACTCTGGGGGTGTGGGGCCAAGTGAAAAACACGCACAACTCGGAGTTAGTAGTGACTCAGGCTGGGCGGCCGGGAGCCGGTTCCCATTCCTGGAGCCCCAGGGGACAGCGGGGCCTTGGTGCAGGCTACTTTGTGGCAGTCGCGTCCCCAGGCAGTGAGTCAGCCCAACAGAAGGACTCCCTGCCCCACAGTGAGTGCTTTGATTGAAAGAGCCCTCAGCGATGCCCTCCTGGGCTGTCTCGGGGTGCAGCTATGGGAGTTCAACATGCCAGGTTCATAGGAGAGAGCCGGGTTCATGGTGGAATTCTGTTTATCTCACTGTGTGACCCGAGGGTTCTCACCTCCCTTCTCTGGGCCTGTTTTTCCAAGGCTGGGCTGGAGGGTTGGGGCATCTTTTCTAGATCTAAAAATCCCAGGACTCTCTTTCCCCATTGGCTCTAGCCTGGTTCCGAGGTTGCCATGGAAACAGCACCCACTACCAGCTGCATTCCTAGACTGCTCTCCACAGCCTGCAGAGCCCAGACAGGTCCTCTGGTCCTTGGACACTAGCTTTCTCATCTGTACAAGGGGAGAACACACCACCAGCCACAAAGGAACATGCAAGGAAGGCCCCTTGTCCCTGCCCCATGACCAGCCCTGCCCTTGGCCTCTCCTCAGCCTCCCATCCTTCCCTTGCATCCCAGCTGCCCCTCACTCCACCTCTCCACTGTAGCACCCCACCCAGGGCCCTGCACCCCCACACTCCTACCTGATGAGCACCCCAACTCAGTACATGGCTCCTCTACTCCACCTACTGCCCTCACCTAACCTGGGGTACCCACCTTAGACTGTGGCGGGAGGGACACCCTGTCCTGCCACTAGTTTTATATGTGACCCCTGGTCCTGCCATGACCTCAGAGTCCCCACATGGAAAGAGTCCTGCCCAGGGACCAGTTCTCAACAGCTCTCTGTCATGTCCACAGATCCCAGGCTGGGCTTGGCAGCTTCATTCATTCAGCGGGGGAGGGGAGGAGGACACTACGAATCTCTGGTCCCCTGGACCCTCAAGCACCACACAGACTGCCTGACTCCAACATGTTATATCCCGTTCTGTGAGGTGGGCCTCAGGTGGGTCTCCCACACTAGTCCATAGTCAAGGGAGCTGGCTTCCCAAGACATCATCAGTCAACAGGGGATAATATATGAGCCCCAGCCTGTCAGCTGTCCCAACCTATGCCCTGTCCACTATCCGGAGCCACTCTCGTTGAACTTCTTAAATGTATATAATTTTCCTGATCCTTGAATTAACCCTATAAAGTAAGGAGGACTGAGGGAGAATCAGAGAGAGGAAGGGATTCACCTAAAGTTCTCAGCGTTAAGCCTTGGAACAGAGGCTCTCCAAACTCCCACAATGCTCTGCAGGCAGGGGCCAAGGAACTTTAATTTCCACCCACCTCCCAGCAGTGCCTGGCATGAGCTCTGCCCACAGTGGTCATGACCTTGGCCTGAGAGCCTGCCCTGGCACTGAAAGCTGGAGGGAGGATTGGGGATCTGGGCCAAAACATAGAGGCCCCCTTGGGTGCTGTGGGGTGACCCGAGATGCTGGCCACTGTCCTTGTTCTGTGGTGTCTCGGTTGGGGTGAGAGAAGTCCAGAGAGGCCTGCCTGTGCCTGAACTGTGCTGGGACAGGAAATTCTGTCTCAGCATGACCAGAGCTGAGACACAGGGTTATTGCCACATCTCATTCAGGCTCATGGGCCATCAGCTCAGAGGTATGAGCAGAGCTGATGCAGGCACTTTGGGGGCTGGACCTGGGAAAAAGAACCTGATAGTGCCTAACCCTAGCACAAAATATGAGTAAAGAGACTTCAGAATCAGGGACCAAAACCCCAGTGTCCAGGCCTGGAGTTCAACCACAGACTTCACCCTCAGGGCTAGTAATGGCCTCAAAGGCCACCAAGCCCCAACCAGAGAGAGAGTGAAAGACTGGCCCGGGGTTGAACAGCATGCAAGTGGAGAAGCAGAGCCTGGGATCCAGCTCCAACTGCCCAGCCAAGGTCCACACCGGCTCTCAGCCTGGGGTCTCAGGGATCTCTTCATTCTCTGCCCCCAGTGTGTGTGTTTGTACCCCACCACTGAAGGTCTTGGGGTGTGCTCACTGCCCCATCAAACCACTCAGCCAACACCACAGATCACATGCCCACTGTGTACCCAGCACTCAGAGGCTGGGGTGGGGGAGATGATGGCATAGATTCCAACCTTAGAAGAATTTGTCACTTGACCCTGGAGAGAAAACTGCAGCCAGAAATACAGCACTCCCTGCAGGGAACCCTGGGTGCTCGGTCCTCGGTCACGCCCTATTGCAGGAAGCAGCAGCTCAGGAGGGTCACCCCAAGCCTCAGCTGTACAGGAGGGAGCTGCCCTCCTCTTCTGAACCCTCTGAAGGGTCCTCTCCTGGAGAGGCTGCAACTGGGCTTGGGAGGTACCAGTTGGCAGACAAGGAGTTGGGACAATTCCTCCATGTCAAGGTTGCACACCTGCCCCAAGCTCATCAAGACCAGGACCTCTCAGCCCCTACCAAATCTAGGCACCACCCCCGCCCTGCTTTTCCCTCCATCCTTAGCCCCACCCCTCTCAGGATGAGGTCATGTCACTCTTGGAGTTATCCGGGAGACATCATTGGCCAATGCCCGGCCTCAGCTTGCCGTGATCATCAGAATCCCCACGCAGACTCCAGCCCCTGCTCCAAACCCTCTATTAGCATTGCCCAGGACAAGCCTGGTCCTGGGACTGTTTTACAAGCTCCCCAGGAGATTCCCATGCTGGGGAGGCAGAAGGTAGCCCAGGGTGCTGGGAGGTGGAGAGAAGGGGGGGGCTGCACACTCCCAGCCCCTGGGGGGGGCAAGCCAGAGCCGTGGGCTTCAGAGCCCCACTGGAGCAGGACAGACCAGCCTGGAGTTGAAGCCAGCAGGGCGGAGATTGGCAAGCCCTTTAGCCTCTCTGAGCCTTGGTTTCCTTCTCTGGGAAATGGGAATAACAGTGGGATCCTACAGGCACATGAGAGGAGAAGGAGGGACATAAACAAAGCCCCTGGAGGACCGTGGCCACCACCACATTTATTCAAAAGGTGTCTATAAGTACCCACCATGTGCCAGGCCCTCAGATTCAAAGAGCAAGACAAAGCAGCCTTCAGAATACACAATCTAGCAGGTGAGAGAAGGTGGTAAAGACAGTGCCGGTACTCTGTGGTCGGGTCATGATGGGTACAAGGGAAAGAGCAGGCAGGGTCCCTAATGGCGAACAAATGTCTGAGTCCAGACCCTGGCTCCGTGCCTGGTTCCCAAGTCAGGAGGACTTCAGTGGGTCCTTTCTCCTCCTGCACGTTTGATGCCCACCATCTGGGGGAGAGCAGTCACATCCCCTCACACTGGTCATAAACAAGGGGCCTTCAAGGGAGCCCGATGTTCTATCAAGCTCAGATGCAGCCTCCTTTGTGCCTGGGGCAGGACAGCCCTGACTCTGGCTCCTCTGCTCCCCTCAGCTCCCCAAGAGACCCACAGGCCAGCCACTGTGCCCTGCTTGCCACCCCTAAGCTAGGGCCTCTCAGAGCAGACACTGTCCCTCTGAGCCAAGGCCTGTGTCCTCTCCCTCCCACTCAGTGTGGAGCCAGGCGCAGAGCCAGGCAATGTTGTGGGCAAAGCTGCCCACCAACCACATCCTTCTTCCCCAGGCCATATGTCAGGTCAGCCCCTGCCAGGGCAGCAGCATGGTAGAGGAAGAGTCCCAGGGCTGGCTTCAGCAGGCCTGGGCGTGGCCTGGGAATCAGGTGTGTGTCGTCATAGGAGAGTGGGTGCGGCTACTCCAGGGGCAATCACAGACCACAGCTGTGGCCAGGGTGATGGGGGCGGGGTTGCAAGCTGGTGTGGGTGAAGGATGAGCCCTCTCCATGTCGTCCCAACACATAGGTCCCCAATCCAGGGTCAATTGCATAAACCCAGAAGCCTGAGCTTGTTTGGGGTGCCCAGAAAAAACACCAAATCTCCCCACACCATCCCTTGGAAACCCCCCCACAACATGACAGCCACTGTCTCTGCTGGCTTGGCACTCGCTCTCTGTCACCCGCCCCCTCAATCTGTGGGGAGGGACTTAGACCCCCCAGACAGGTACAACCAGAGCCTTCACCAGTCCTCCCTACACTCTGGCCCCTCCTCACCCACCCCCTCAGGAAGAGTGGATCCCTAGAGTCTCCAGAAGAGGGACAGCCCTGTCTGAGAGCCAGTGGGGCTGGGCACCTCTTCCCAGCACAGACTGGGATCACTCCCCTCTCCCGCCCTGCTCCACCTTTGACATGCCAGGCTCCAGGAGAAGGGCTGAGTCACTGCTCCTGGAAGCCTCAGTGTCCCCATCCATACAATGGGGTGCCTTTCCCAAGACTCTCCCCAATTCCTGGGACTCTGGTTCAGATAAATGAGCTCACCCTCCAAGATGAGCCATGCACAGTCCCAGGCTGGTTCTTCTGGTTGTGGGCAGATGTGCCGTGGGGGGTGGGGGAATGGGCCTCCTGCCTGCCCCCATCAGATCCCGATTGTCATATTTGCTGCTAGACAGCAGAGAGGCACCAGCTTTGATGGAGAAGGGTCTGCCTGGCTTTGAGTCCTGCAGGTGCCCCCATGGGCTCATTTCCGGGCTCTATCCGGTCCTGGGGTACCAGACTGGAAGGCCATTAGCGACTCCTCTCACCCTCGTTTTACAC